GGCGGATCCATCATTGCCGCTGGAAAGAGATGCTCCACCCTCAGCTACTGATCGAAATTCCAAGAAAAAAAAGGGTCGTCCATCCACGAAGGATTTTGTATCGGGGCAAATCGTATGGGCAAAATACGGCATGTATGATATTTTGCCCGGCAAAATTGATAGAGTTGATGCGGGGTCTCTGAAAATAATATTTTACGATGGCACGAATACCTCGTACAAATGTTACAAAAGAAATTGCTATCCGTTTGAACTGAAAGATCACTTGCAGCTCTATGAAAAAGATGCCGATAAAGAGCTTTTTAAAGAGTACATGAGAACATTTCACAAAGAAAATGATGCACACATGAAAATCAAGGCGTTGACTGATGTAATTGACTTCTCCATTTACTCTTAATAAACTTTTGACATGTATCTGTACATATCTACAGTTATTTCTGTGGCATCCAGCCATAACCGTCATTCGTGTTTTTGAGATATTCTAGTTTAACGTTCAAAAAACTGCAAAAATTGGGAAATTATGTTTAAAACTTGATATTTTGCAAAAAATATCAATTGTACAGAACTTTTCGAATGGTAGATCCACCAATTTGTAAAAGCTCGTTTGTGTTGATATGATGGGTGAGTTGCACTGCTATTTCAGTTAATCAGCATATGGTACTTTTATTTGTAGAATATTCGAGGGTTCCTAAAATTATTTATAATAATTCGATACCTGCTTTCGATGTCATTTTTACAGATATAGAATACGATGGCATAATTATATTTGTTGTATAGTTTGAAAAAATAGAACTAGAACCAAAAAACCTTTAATAAATCAAAAAAATTTTCTGACAAATTCGAATTATCGTTTCTAGCAATTTGCAGTTCAGTTTTGCAACAAATTATACCATAGTGTTCTGCGATAAATAATACTTGAAAAAGACGTATCACATTGTTAAAAAAATTATTTGAAAGTCTAAGAATATCAACAAAGCAAATTCCATACGTCGATCGATCCGCAGGCGAAAGATTTCTTCCGAATTCCTTGACAATCCATGAAACGTTTTTTTCAACTCATATACGTACGTGACTTTAACATGGTTTTCTTACGAAGAATACGATGGCGAATTTAGTTTGATGAGTTCGCCCGTATCCTTCATTCAAATTAAAAAGCTTGCCGAGTTTACGCTGTTATGCCGGGTACTAATTTTCTAAAACCGAGTTACGTCTTTAAGAATCGTTGTTTACATGGGTTTAAATATTCTGCTTACAAATAAATAAATACGCGCCGATCATTTTCCGACGAATTTTTATGGTGGCTAGTATGGATTGGTTACACAGTATACGTGACATTAATATAAAAACTTTCTTCTTTCGCAATTATTTTTATTTGTAATTTTATCCACAAACAATTAACACAAAAATCGCATGTACCCTGGAGAGGTGCTTATTTGTTTTTACTTATTACTCACTATGCATAGCCCTTTTTCCCGAGCCTGAATTCCGTCCAAATCTATTGCAAGGGCAGTCTGCGCTAGTCTTAAGCTTGTTACAAAACTTCGACTTCGCCTGCATTTCCTCTGAGGCCACACTAGGCTTCAGGATGCAGTCCACCGCTCCTCTGCCCTATTTCACTCAGCCCTCCGCTCGTCCGTCCTATTGCACACAGCCCGCTGATTGTCTGACCTGTTTAACGTTGTCGTCCGCTCATCCGCCCTATTTCACACCGTCCTCCGCTCGCATGCTTTTTTCGTCGTAGCCCTCTGCTCATCTGCCATTCATGACGCTGCCCTCTGCCCGTCCGTCTTATTTCGACGTCTCCCTCTCGCCGTCCGTCTAATTTCGATGTAGCCCTCCGCTCGTCCGTCTTAATATTACACTTTGCCCTCCGGTGGTTCGTCTTATTTCGACGAATCCCTCCCACCGTCCGTCTTATTTCACCCAGCCCTCCGCTCGTCCCTCATTTTATACTCTGCCCTCCGCTCGTCCGCCCTATTCCGCCCAGACTCCAGCTCGTCTGCCCTTTTCGACGTAGCCCTCTGCTCATCTGCCTTTCATGTCGGAGCCCTGCGCTCGTCCGTCTTATTTCACCCAGCCCTCCGATCGTCCGTTTTATTACACCTTGCCCTCCGCGCGTCCGTCTTATTTCGACGAATCCCTCCCACCGTCCGTCTAATTTCGACGCAGCCCTCTGCACATCTGCTCTTTATGATGCAGCCCTCCGCCCGTCTTCCCCATTTTACACAGCCCTCCGATCGTCCGTCCTGTTTTAACATAGCCCTCCAATCGTCTGCCCTTTTGGACGCAGCCCTCCCTCGTTCGTCTTATTTTACACAGCCCTCCGCTCATCAGTCTTGTTTTAACATAGCCCTCTCATCATCTGCCATTTTGGACGCAGCCCTCCAGTCGTTCGTCATATTGTGACTTAGATCTCTGCTGGTCTGCCCTTTTTGACATAGCGCTCTGCTTGTCTGCCCTCGAGAATACAGCTGTCTGCTCGTCCGTCCTATTTTACACAGCTCTCCGCTCGTCCGCCCTATTCCGCCCAGCCCCAGCTCGTCTACCCTTTATGACGTAGCCCTCTACTCGTCTGCCTTTCATGACGCTGCCCTCAGTCTGTCCGTGTTATTCCGATGTCTCCCTTTCACCGTCCGTCTAATTTCGACGTAGCCCTCAGCTCGTCCGTCTTATTTCGACGAATATCTTCCACCGTCTGTCCAAATTCGACGCTGCCCTCTGCTCGTCTGCCCTTCATGACGCAGCCCTCCGCTCGTGTGTTCTATTACGACCCGCCCTCAGCTGGTCCGTCACATTTCGACGTAGCGCCCAGCTCGTCCGTCTCATTTCACCTTAACTTCCGCTCGTCCGCCCTATTCCGCCCAGACCCCAGCTCGTCTGCTCTTTTCGACGTAGCCTCTGTTCGTCTGCCTTTCATGACGCTGCCCTCTGATCGTCCGTCTTATTTGGACGTCTCCCTTTCTCCGTCCGTCTAATTTCGACCAATTCCTACCACCGTCCGTCTTATTTCGACGGATCCCTCCCACCGTCCGTCTAATTTTGACGCTGCCCTCTGCTCGTCTGCCCTTCATGACGCAGCCCTCCGCTCGTGTGTTCTATTACGACCCGCCCTCAGCTGGTCCGTCACATTTCGACGTAGCGCCCAGCTCGTCCGTCTCATTTCACCTTGTCTTCCGCTCGTCCGCCCTATTCCGCCCAGCCCCCAGCTCGTCTGCCCTTTTCGACGTAGCCTCTGCTCGTCTGCCTTTCATGACGCTGCCCTCTGATCGTCCGTCTTATTTGGACGTCTCCCTTTCACCGTCCGTCTAATTTCGACGAATCCCTCCCACCGTCCGTCTAATTTCGACGCTGCCCTCAGATCGTCCGTCTTATTTGGACGTCTCCCTTTCACCGTCCGTCTAATTTCGACGCAGCCCTCTGATCGTCTACCCTTTTAGACGCAGCCCTCGCTAATCTGCCTTTTTACATTTCCGCACTGGACTCATATCCCTTTATCGTAGCAACACTAGTCTCGTCCGCTCCTTTTTAGAGCGGCACTTGGCTTGTCCCCCCTCATCAGACCAGCGCTCGGCTCCTTTGACTTTTCCCGAAAAGCACTGGGCTCGTCTGCTATCTTCCCAGCGCCGTTGCTTCGCTTGTCGTATTTTTAGTCATCACTGTGCTCGTGTACCCTGCTTAATCAAGTCCCAGCTTTCTCCTGCCTATTTCTAAGGCCTCGCCGTGCTCGTCTTCTTTTCCTCCCCGTGCCTCTGCTATATGTGACCTTTTTCTCCGAGCAGCTAAGCGCACGTCTACCCTCTTCGCCTAAACCTCGGCATTATCAGAATTTTTACTTGAGCCTCGCTCCGTTCGCAGCTTTTCTGAGTCCGCACTGTGGTTTATTATGATCATGGAAGAGCAAAAATCTTATGACCGTCGATTTCGGCTCTAAAAAAATTTTGAAAGCATCATGTTTTTTTCCAAAAAAAGTTTTTTCCATTGTATTTTTTGTCGTTGACCCCGAATTTAAAGTCAAATTGCCAGTTTGACAGTTAGCAATTGTCATGACAGCTGTGATGACAATTGACTTCAAACTCGCGCCTAGGAAACGCGAAAAGAGTAGGGTGACTTTTTCTGTTTCCGCATATCAAATTTTGTCGAACTTTTAAGTTGTCGAAACAATTTCATTTCAGATTCGTGTTCAGCGATGAAAAATACAATGGGAAACACATTTTCGAGATCGAAAAACAATTGTGGAGCGTACAATTTCCAACGCGACCTTCCTGAAAGCGAAAAACTGAATTTCCCAGTTTTTGACTGTGAGCTCGAGAAAAAGTATCACACCGAACTTTGTAATCGCAAAAATTGGTATCCTTTTTCATTCTAGGCCCTTCAAGGTACAACTTGCTGCTTTCAAAATTTTTTCAGAGCCAAAATCGACGGTGATAAGATTTTTGCTCATTTTATATTCAAAATAAACCTCGATGGGCCGCCCCGTCTGCGTCCGCAATTCTCTTAGGTCGCACTGCGTTCGTCTGTCCTCATGCCCCCAGCCTCATCCCCCGTTTCGTTATTCTTCTCAAAATTCGCACCATCGCCACATCCACTACTCTCTCCGATCAGCCTGGCACCTTTAACTCATTACGGATCTTCTTTCGTATGTCGGTTTTTTAAACGATGAAGTTACCATGCGGAACAGGGCAACGAGAGATTGATTTTGAAAAAAATTATGGAAATTTGTTTTTGGAATTTCTTTTCACCGAAAAGTGGCGATGACTTTTATAATTTTCAATTTTTTATTATTTGTAATTCTTAATTCAACTTAGAAAAAGTAGTTCTCCTCTCAACGGGCAGATCTTTCCTAAATCAAACTGTCTTCTTGTAGTTCCCATTATATTATTCCTTCCAATTCCTCCTTCCATCTAATTCCCGATGTCCTCACTCCTCTGATAAATACATTATTCTTCCTATCCCTCCTCTCTTTCATCTCAAACTCGTATTCTGTTTATTTCATCGCGTCCGGCTTATGCACTTCTAGTTCTCTCTTCGTCCACGCCGCTCTTGTCCGTGGTTACATGTTGCTTGTCGTCTGCTCGTTGTGCCGTTTCCTCTTCTTGCATTTCATTGCTCTTGTTTTTTGTGCTCTCGTTTGTCTCCTTTCTCTCCTCCCTCCTACTCTTGCCGCATCTATTCATTTTCTCTATTTCCTTCTCCAACCTCTCTTTTTGCTCTCTCGCCTTTTCTACCATTTGGTTTATCAACTCTGACATTTTTCTATCAAACTTCTCCACTACCAGTCTTACCATTTCTTTCGCTAGTTCTACTGCTTGTGCATAAATTCTTCTTTGCTCTTCCATCTTCTCCATTCTATCCTGTAGTTTCTTCAATTCCTCTCCTACGCTACTCCTCTCATCCTCGCTCGTATCCGTGCTCGTGCCTGTGTCTACATCCGTCCCTCGGTCTTGTTTTCGCCTTGCTTCATTTTCTTCCTTATCGTCTTGACCTGCTTTACCATTCAGCTTCTGTGCATCTTTTACCTCATGCTCGTTCCATGTTTTCTCACTCTTGTCTTCTGCCGAATTTTCTCCTCTCTTTTCTTCACCATCTTTCTCGCTCCCCTCCTCTTCTTGTTCGTTTTCCTCAGTTACTTCGTCGTCGTCGACCTCTATTTTCCCTGTCTGTTCGATTCTTTCGCTGTAATTTTTTTCCCACGATACCGTACATCATTTCATCTGCCTTCTTCGACGGCGATTGTATTAATTTGTCGCTTTTTGCAAAACCGATTTCCTTACTTTCTTTCTCCCTTTGCATGAACGTTCTTATATCATTTTTCCTACTGCTATCCTTCTTCTCGTTTTCTATTTTCTTTGGTCTGCCCCGGCCCCGCTTTGTCAACGTTTGCTCTCTATCACTCGTCTCCTCGTTCCTGTTTGCTGCCACTATAATCTCATTTTTGTTGCTCTTCGTAATTGCACTCATCCTCTTCTTGCTTACCCTTACCTTCCACTTCTTTATCTTTTATTTGTTAATTATCCTCCAGCTCGTCTTGCCAATTCACTTTTTGATTATTTATTCTATTTTTTATCTCAATATCACTACTTGGATTGCTAGCTTACGTCACATGCGTTTTTTCCGTCCGAGTTCTCGACCAGAAGTCTATAAGTACTTGTATAATTTATATGTTTATAATGTAAAATATTTATTTGTATAATTCAGTGTTCGATAACGTAAGCTAATATTAAATAAACTTTTGGCTGCAATGATGAGTTATCCCTGTAACAGGGATAACTCCTAAGATCAGAAATTTAATAAAATAAAATCATCAAATATCAGGAGTGAAAACATAAGAATTTTTTTGGCTGCAATACTTTTAAGTTTTAAGACATATACAAGCTAGTCTGTAGCGACAAATACTAACGAGTTCCTCTTGAATATTAATTACATAAATACTAGTCAAAATCTAGTCTGTCTAGTTACAAGTCTGTTTCTTCTATGTCATTTGCTTATAGACTTTAGAATTTATTGATTAAGGAAATATCTCAACATTTGTGATAATTTTGTGATACCTTGTGATACAGTATAATTGTAAAAATAACGTAATTGTTGTATATATTGACATATATTGTATATAAATTGTAATTATTATTTTGCTTCTATAGCGAATAAAAAGTATCAATCAATCAATCCCTCAGTTAATAAAGATAAATACTTGCACGCTGATTGATAACATCAGAGAGAGTACGTGAAGAGGTGTGTGTGCTTCAGATATGTCGCTTGAACTGGAAAAGAGCATGGATAGAAAAGCAGCCTCGCGGTTGCCGCGACTGCTTCCAGTGGCGTTGTTATTCATTCTGCCACCTAGTGTCCGTATCATCAGTAGGACAAGTTCCTACAGTTTTATTATAAGCGCGTAATTTGAAAATTTATATTAGAAAATACGTTTGACTTTGACGTGCAATTAAAAATTTGAATTTTTTAAATGGAGTTTTATTATAGGCGCTCGATTTGAAAATTCATTTAGACAGTGTGTTAGAATTCGAATTCGTTTTATATCTTTTTTGATAGTAGCTCTAACCCAGCTACTATCTGTGAGGCACAACCATACATTTAATTTTTAAATATACCCCTCCAATTAATTTTTTACTTTTTATTCTTTACAAGAAACGTGTTAGTGGTCAGTTTTGTCGACCCCCATGAAATCAGTGCTTAAGGTATCAGTGCGGCATCGGTCATGAAGAGGACAGTCACGTTGAAAACAACTCCACCTTGTTTGATCCTCCTCCTTGTTCAGCATCCATTTCAACAGCTTTTCGACATTCTGTAATACACACACCGGAAGAGAGCTGCATTTTCAGTTGCGATGATATACACAAAATGTCATACCATCGCTAGAAAGACTGCTAAGGGATGGAAAACCCACGTTAGCTTCCATGTCTACAACTGATCTCTAAAGAAAAAAAGACAACGTTGCATCTATTAGTAAATTAATCAAACACCTTTAAAATCATAATTACATACATTCCACGCATTTATTGGCTGAACCAGTTTACTTTTTGTGCATCCTTGACGTGCACCTGTTCGTAAAACAGCAAATTTAATTGCAGCACCGTAGTAAGTTCCGTATATGGAATGTTTTCCGCTCACCAAGATATGCCGTAATGCGTTTTTTCAATCCACTTATTGGCGTTTTGAAAGAAAAGAGATATTTTATTGAGTGGTTTAAGCAGTAAAAAGCAGTACACCTTGGGAAAAGCATTGCATTTAACAGGAACTAAAGCAAGCTCCTTCAAGATAAATTCACCTGCTGGAGCTTGGAAACACTGCATATCAATGATGTATTTCATCTCGGAAGGTGCAGTTCCGCTGATGCTACTGCTGCTTCTACTACAAGAAAAAGGTCTTCCAATTCCTTTTATAGCCAAATTTTCGGCGCCGGCAAACCGCAAACTCATTGCGCAGACGCAAACTCTAATTCCAGCTTACGGCGCCATCATCATTGGGTCGCTGCGAAGACGCGATTTTTGGAATAACAGGTTGAGCCGAAGCTCTCAGAGCTCATTAGCTTTAGCTCATTAAAACAGCACAACTCCAGCAGAACTACTACTCAAAGACGGCGAAGCAGCTTTGGAAGTTGGTGAGGCTGAAAGACGTCGAGCCTAACGGTTATATAAGATGGCTTGATATCTTAAAGGAAGCTATCCAACACTTCGTCTGTTTTCGTTGCATGCTGACTTGAACAGATCGTAGAGGCAAAGATGTCTGAGCTACATGAGTCATTTTCTCTTTATTCAAATTAGACTCGATGACTTTTTGAGATTTACGGAGCATTATAACAATAGTTAGATGAGAGAGCAAATTCGCATTGGAATTATCACCAATCGCTGACATCATCTCTTACAACAATGTAGCACGTCTTGTATTTGAGACACAAATCAAGCTAGTTCTCAACAGATACAGTGCTACCAAGGTGAATACTGATCTAATAGCCGAGTTTGTTATTTAGAAAAGTAACGAAGAAAACACTGCGGTGAAATATTTTAGAACAAAAAATCATACCATCTATCAAACCAATGATTTATCTCAATCGTTTATAGATAATATCAGGTACATCATCATGGAAAAAATGGAAGAGTTTCCAGAAAAGGATTCTGGCTGGTCTATAAAAGATATCTTAGGACTTGCAGTCAACATTAATAAGCTGAATCCTCTCAAGGGAAGCTCTTTCATCGCACTTCCATCTTTCATTGCTAATAAGAGAGCCCGTGTTAACGTACGAAATGAAGATAATCTCTGCTTCATGTAGGCCATTCTCTCGGCATTGTATCTAGTAGATATAAATCCACAACAAGTTAACAATTAGAATCGATGTGCAAATGATCATGTATTGAAAGACCTCAAATATCCCGTTCAGCGTAAAGCCATTAAAAAGTTTGAGATAAGCAGCAATATGTTCATCAATTTGTATATATATTATTTTATTTCAACTTTCGTTACATTTTGCTTTACATTTCTTACTTCACTATTTGTGTCTCGTGTCCAGTTTGTGTAGTTGCTAATCTATGTGTTTTGTGTGTGTATGTGCGTGTGTATGCGTGTTTTATGTATATGTGTGCGTATGTAGGTGTGTCTGCAAATCTTGTGTCTCTGTCTTCTGTGACTGTCTGTTCAGACTTTCTTCCCATTTTTCAGTTGCTTAATCTTCTCTTCTTCTCTCCCTCTCTGCCTTTTCCACTCTTCTGTTTCTTCCTTTCTTTCTTATTTTCTTTTTAACTACTTCCTTTGCTACTTTCTTTTCCCTTTTCACCTTTGCGTTTCTTTTGCTTTTGCTATCTTTCTTGCTAATCATCTCACCTGTCTTTCTCCTTATTAGTGCTTTTACACCTTTTTCTCATGTCCAATTGCTCCCTCTGCCTTAAATTTCCTCAGCCTCACTTATTTTCCTTAGTGTCTTATAATTTTGTCTTCTTATTTTCCTTTTTCTTTCTCTTCTTCGCTTCTACTTCTTTAACATTTTGCTCCATCATCCACGCTATCTTTTCTTTGCTTCCTATTTTTATTTTTTCGCATTCTTCCCCCTTCTGTTTGCTTTTTTCACATTTTTCTACTATGTGCTTCCAATGTTCTTCCTCTTTCATACACATTCTGCATCGCTTATTTTCTTTTTTTCCCAATATCTGCTTCCTCTCGTTTCATTACCTAATCTAAACCTTTCTCTTATTTGTAGGCCTTTTATTCTTTCCTCTCCTTCAATTTACTTTAATCTATACTTTTTCATTTCTTCTTTTAGTTTTTGCCACTCCTTTATGTATCTTGACTTTCCTAGCTTTTCTTCTAGTTCTTTTTTTCTTTTTTCTTTAGCTCTTCTCTTATTTCTTCCCAAAACTCTTCTCTCATTTCGTCTCCCTCTTCCGTCTTTCTGTATATTTTAATTTTTTCTAGCCTTTCCTCTCACTCCTCCTTCTTACCCTTTTTATCTTTTTCATTTTTTTCCCTTTCTTTAGTTCTCTCCATGCTTATTTTTTTATTGAGCCACATCTTTCTTCTCTTATTTTGCTATCATACCTCATTGCTCTTTCTAATGCTGTTTCTTTCATTTCTTATCTTACTGTTTTCCATCGTATTAAGTAACTTTTCGTCTTTCTATCTAATCTCAATACCCACTTTATGTATTTTAGTTGTAATCTCTCTATTTCTTCATATCTCCTCCATTCCCAGGTTTCTGCTCCATACATAATCACGCTTTTCGCCAGTGCGCCAAACAGGTTTATCCTTAGCTCTCAATTTTCTCTAAATAGCTTTTCTCCTAGCCCCCATAGTCTTTCGAATCCCATATTTATATTCCCTTCTACCTTCTTTATCTGCTTATTATTTCCTATTTCTGCTTATCACATATCCCAAGTACTTGTACTCTTTAACCATCTCTATCTTCTCACCTTCCCATTCGAATACTTCTTCTTTCCCCCTTCCTCCTCCTCTCCTGCATTCCATCATCTTTAATTTTCCTACATTTAGCTCTAATCCCCTTCCTTCCAAGTACTTTATTAATTTTTTCGACACTCCGTGCGGAAAGTGCATTTTTCCCGCACGCTCGGTAAAAAACACGCGTTAAAAATCGCACTTTCCACACGTCGTATCAAAAAATACGGTACGGCACATGTTCGGGAAAGAGTTTGTCGTCTCGTGTACTTTTCCACCCTCGCTTCGCTCGGGTGTAAACACCACACGAGACAAGACTCTACTTTCCCGCGCTTGTATCGTAATGTACTATTTTGGGTACAATTGATATTTGCACCCGGCATACTACATTGTAATCGGTAATGGTGGTAGCGTAAAATACATTCTATTGAATCAACCAATAAACGATGCGTATCGCTTAGCGTCTCTTTTGCTTCTAGTTCTCTTTCCATCTTTTTCCTCAGTATTGCCGCGTTCATTTTATATCCCGTGTCCATCAGCGTTATTCCTCTGTAGTTTTTTAC